CCCCCCCCCCCCCCCCCCTTCCCCACTCTCGAGCAAACTCGGCGGCAGGCGTAGGCGAGGGCAGAGGTGGTGACGGGGGGGAAACGCGACGGGCTGACGACGAGGGAAACGCGACGGGCTGGCGACGGGGGAAACGCGACGGGCTGGCGACGGGGGAAAACGCGACGGGCTGGCGACGGGCAGGCGACGAGGGAAAAAACGACGGGCTGGCGACGAGGGAAACGCGGCCAGCTCGCCACCGCGCCCGTCGCAGCGAGCGCCGTGCCGCGAATGGGTGGGCCCATTAACTTAGGTCAGGATTTTAATCGCTCTATACCATGTTACAACTCTGACTTAACTAGGTAACGGTTTTAACTAGGGCCTAGGCTTAGTAGCCTAGGCCAAACGGGTGTGGAGGGTCAAGGCCAAGGAGAATCGAGAGGTTTGACCAAAGAAGTTAGCTTCACTAAAAGCAAAGCATACAACATATAGTCGAGAAACTAGGAAACAAGAGGTGCACCACCAACTGCAAGGAAACATAACTACACTAAAGCTAAAGCTACAGGCTGTTATAAACATATATAAAATATATATCGCGACAAGCACCTCCAGAACCTGAACCTCCAGCACCTCCAGCAGCACCTGTGCCTCCAGTAGCAGGAACACCTGGACTAGCACCTACAAGGCTAGCACCTCCAGAACCTGCAGCTCCAGTACGTCCAGCGCCTCCACCAGGACTGCCCCAACGGACAGCCCACTCGCGAAGCCGCTCCGGCGAGAGAGGCGCCTGGCGACGCGCGCCAGGACTACCCGCAGCAGCACCCACAGCAGCACCCACAGCAGCAGCACCTCCAGTACCTCCAGCTCTAGAAGAGCGAGCACGGCTAGCTCCACCACCAAGGCTGCCCCACTGTACAGCCCACTCGCGAAGCCGCTCCGGCGAGAGAGTCGCCCGCCGACGTGCAATAGTGCCACCAGTACGAGCAACTACAGTACCACCAGTAGCAGAACCTCCAGCTCCAGCACTTCCAGCACCTCCAGCTCCAAGACGGCTAGCTCCACCACCAGGGATGCCCCACTGGACAGCCCACTCGCTCAGCCGCTCCGGCGAGAGAGCCTCCTGCCGACTCGTAGCAGGACCAACAGCACCAGTACCTCCTGTACCTCCTGTACCAAGAGGACCCTCAGCACCCCCAGAACCAGCACCCCCTGTGGTACCACCTCCTGCAGCACCAGAGTCCACAGCAGCAGGATGCGGCGGCGGTGAAGACGGTCGAGGCGGAAACCCAGGAGGGACAGCCAAGCGTGCAGAGCGGCGAGGGGTCACTGTGGCAGCAGGAGCCGGGTCACCCCCCTCAGCTGGGCCAGAGGTGTCTGAGGAGACCTCCAAAGGCTCAACCAAGGGGGGTGGGTCTACCTGAGACACACCTGAGGGAGCGGGACCGTGAGGAGGGAGGGGGGCTACCGGGGGAGGGTCGTCCACCAGGGTGAGAGGGGGGAGGGGTGCCGGGGAACTGCGGTGGGGGTGAAGACGGTAGAAGCAGACGGACTCGTCAAAGGTCACGTCCTGGGAGGACAGCACACGACGAGAGCACGGGTGGTAAAACTGCCAGGGCGGTGCGTCGGTGGGGAAGCCAAGGAACACGTACCAAAGAGTGCGTGGAGAGAGCTTGTTTGCAGGCAAGTCGCGGACAAGAGAGAGGGAACCCCAGACTCGAAACGCCGACGCATCACCAACCTCGCCCGTGCACCGCAAAGTGGGGGAGGTCTCCGGGTGGGAGACACGGGGCCAGAGGTTGAGCTGCTCAGCGGCGTATCGGACCGCAAACGGCCACATAAAATGGGGAGCAGCCGCATGGATCATGGAGGTGCGAGCAACCTCCATGACAAGACCAATGCGGCGCTCTGCAATCCCATTCTGCTGTAGAGAGGCCGGAAGCGTGTACGTCTGGCGGATGCCCTCAGCACCACATAAGTCCTCAAGGAGGTGGGAGCAAAACTCACCACCTCGGTCAGAGTGCAGCCGTAGGACAGGAAGGTCCTTACGGAACCGAGCGCGAAGCTGGAGACGAACAGCACGGATCCAGTGGATCAAGACACCGCGGACATCCGCCTTGCTCTGCAAGGGGAAGACCGTGGTGTAGCGCGTGTAGTCGTCGACTACCAGCAAAAAGTAGCGCTCGCCACCCTGTCCAGTGACGCGGGCGGGGCCCCACACGTCCATGTGCAGGGTCTGCAAAGGAGCAGTGGTAGGAGGAAACGAGGAGGAGTGAGGAGCGGCGCGCTGCCGCCCCTCGACGCAGGGAAGGCAAGGCGGTGCTGGCAACCTTGGGAGCGGGGGCAGGGACCTGGGGAGACTGGACACAAGGAGACGAGAGTGCATGCCACGCAAACGTGGCAAGGAGGGGTGGCCAAGACGGTGATGCCAGAGGAGAGTCTGGTGTGTGAGGAGACGACACGAACAAGACGAGGCGACCTCAACCGACGCAGCTACCTGACCTGACTCAGCTACCAGTGCAGACTCAGTGGTCAGTGTGTACAGGCCAGACCCAGGCCTCCGAGTGAACGTGGCGAGGTGCTCACCAGTGCGCGAGTCCGTACAGATCGCCACTAGCTCGCCTCCAGGCTGGGTGACGAAGACCCACTGGTCCTGGAGGACAGAGGTAGCCACCAAGTTCTTAGCGAACGAGGGGAGGTGGAGACCTGTGAGGAGGCCGGAAGGGGCCGCCGGACAAGGGAGAACAGTGGCGCCACGCGCGACTACCGGGCCCCCAGAGGGGTCGGCCAGTGTGACAGGGACAGGGACTGTGAGCGGTGTGACTGTGGTGCTGTCGCGGAAGAAGCAACGAGAAGCGCCTGAGTCGAGAGTAAAGGTGTGCAAAGCCTCCTCAGGCTCTGAATCAGTGCTAGCTGAGTCAACAGCACCAAGACTAGCAGCCTCTACCCTAGCAACTCTAGGCACACACAGGTAACAGTCCTCCTCAACACTAGCAGAAGCAGCATACATCGCATACATGCCAGCATGGATCACAGCCCAGTCACAAGCAAAAACATCTATGTCCTGCTTTAGCAAAGCGAGCCAGTCAGGAGTCTTCATGTGCTCACCATGCTCCGCACGATACAGATCGTCTAGGCGAAAGAAGCAGCGAGACTCGGTGCGGTCGGTGCGAGAGCAGGTCGCTCCAGGCTGACCTGTGCGACGGACGTACCCGCAGCGAGGTGGGCCACCCGAGCTGCCACGGCGGATCGCCCACTCACGAAGCTGCTGCGGCGAGAGCTGCGCCTGGCGGCTCGGCTGCTGCTGCTGGCCACCCCCAGAACCACCTCCACCCCCCGCTGCACCACGAGTGACCGGACCTCCAGCACCTCCTCCTCCAGCTCCGCCCCTAGTGCCACCCCCACCCCCTCCACCTCCCCCACTGCTCCCTCCACCCCCGCCTCCTCCCTTGCCGCCTCCACCTCCTCCTCCCCCACCACCTCCACCGCCACTACCACTGCCCCCTCCACCCCCACCACCCCCTCCACCCCCACCCTTGCCACCCTTGCCCTTGCCGCTGCGGCGCTTCCCACTAGGAGTAGAAGCAGCACCAACCTCCTCAGCACCGAAGAGGTCAAAAGCAGCAGCAGAGGCAACGGACGACGCGAGCAGGGAGGGGGAGCACCCCTCAAATACAGAGGGGTGGGGAGTGCCACGAGTGGCAGCGACAGCTAGGGCAGCAGACTCCGCCTCCAAGAGACGGGACTCGAACGTGTCGAGGGTGATCTTCGTGGGATCGAGGGCGAGGAAGTGGTCGCGTACAGCACGAAGGGAGTCAGGGAGGCGGGTCGTGAGAAAGTAAAGGGTGAGATAGATAGGTGGCTTGTTCTCAGCCATGAAGGTGGGCTCGAGGGCGGCAGCGTAGCGGGTCTCAAGGGAGCGCAGGTGAGTCATGAGTTCGGCTACATTGGAGAAATCCGACAGCTCGGGAAAGAGGAACGGCAGCGCTAGACGGCCTACAGTGGCAGACGACGGGGACGAGTAGCGTGTGACTACAGCGTCGTAAAGCGCCTTGGCCGTCTTAAGCTGGCGAAAGTGAGAGCGCTGGTCTAGCGGAAGGTGGCTACGGACTGAAAGAGCAGCAGTAGTGTCACGAGACGCCCACCTGGACTGGTCTACACGAGTAGCTGTGGCAGCAGGGGCAGCTAGGGTCCCAGAGGTATGCTCAAAAAGTGAGACATCCTCCTTAGTCTGGCTCTGCAGGTACAGGTGGAGATCCTCTAGCCAGGATTCGAAGTCTACCGGGTGACCCTCTCCGTCAAAGGTGAGAACAGTAGGGGTCACCATAGCAGCAGAACAGTAGTAGCAGCAGCTGCAGTAGTTGTAGTAGCAGCAGTAGCAGTAGCAGCAGCAAGAGCAGCAGCAGCAGCAGTAAGGTAGTGCAGCTTTGTAGGGGCAGTGCAGCGCGGCTTGGGCAGGGCGGCGCGGCTCGGGCAGGGCGGCGCGGCGCGGCGCGGTTTGGGCAGGGCGGCGCGGCGCGGCGCGGCTAAGTGCAGCAGCGCGTGCAGCAGCAGCAGCTCAGGCGCAGAAGCAGCAGCAGCGCAGTGCGAGCGGCAGCAGCAGCTCAGGCGCAGCAGCTTAGCAGCAGCAGCGCGGTGGGCAGGAGCTGCGCAGCAGCAGCAGCGAGCGCAGCAGCAGCAGCAGCGCGGGGCAGGGCACAGCGCAGCAGCGCGTGCCGCAGCAGTGGCTGTGGCGCAGCAGCGCGCGGGCAGTTCGCGGGCAGGGCGAGCAGCGAGCGGGCAGCAAATGCAGCGCGCTAGCGGCAGAGGCAGCGCGTGAGTAGAGGGCGCAGCAAGCAAGCAGGGCGCGCAGCGAGCACAGGCAGCGCGCTTGCAGGGCAGCGCGACGTGCTAGGGCAGAGGAGACCGCATGTCAGCAGGGCAGCGTGGTTCTCTCGGGCAGGGCAGAAAAACGCTAGGGCGCTACGGGCAAAACGAGGCGGAAACGACGGTGGGCCCTAAAAAAAATCGGTCCTAACCGGGACCTACTCTGAAACCATGTCATAATGTAAGAATGAACTAGTAGGAAGGGCAAGACAGGATTGTATAGCCTAACCCTAATGTGTTGTACCCTTTAGTGTATGCCCCACTACAGCCTACAGAACAAATGCAATTTGACACTTCCGTGTACCACTCCCTCGTCTGCCTCGTGCACCTGGGACCTTATCTGCCGCCACATCTTCTTCCTCCTCCTCCTCCTCCTCCTCCTCCTCCTCCTCCTCCTCCTCCTCCTCCTCCTCCTCCTCCTCCTCCTCCTCCTCCTCCTCCTCCTCCTCCTCCTCCTCGTCATCCTCCTCCTCCCCCTCGTCATCCTCCTCCTCCTCCTCCTCCTCCTCCTCCTCCTCCTCCTCCTCCTGCTCCTTCCCCTCCTCCTCCTCCTCCTCCTCCTCCTCCTCCTCCTCCTCCTCCTCCTCCTCCCCCTCCTCCTCCTCCTCCTCCTCCTCCTCCTCCTCCTCCTCCTCCTCCTCCTCCTCCTCCTCCTCTTCCTCCTCCTCCTCCTCATCATCACCCTCCTCCTTCTCCTCCTCCCCCACCTCCTCATCATCCTCCTCCTCATCCTCCGCCTCCTCCTCATCCTCTTGCTCCTCCTCGTCCTCCTCGTCCTCCTCCTCCTCGTCCTCCTCCTCGTCCTCGTCCTCCTCCTCCTCCTCCTCCTCCTCCTCCTCCTCCTCCTCCTCCTCCTCCTCCTCCTCCTCCTCCTCCTCCTCCTCATCCTCCTCCTCCTCCTCCTCCTCCTCCTCCTCCTCCTCCTCCTCCTCCTCCTCCTCCTCCTCTTCCTCCTCCTCCTCAGCGCCTTCTTCGCGGTTTTCCGGATTTTTCCCCCTCGGTGCTTGCTTGCCCCTTCTTCCGCCATAGTTCTTCCGCGATCGGGCTCAGCCCTTCTGGCGCAGTGCCGGACCCGTTGTAGGCTGACTTTCTTCTCTGCTGCCACGCGTTTTCCCAATCTCGGCGCCATCCTGGTCCTCATCCATGCCTGTCGTCGGCCGCCTCTTTTCCCTCGTACTAATGGCGCCGGCCAGGGTGGTATCATCCTCCTCCTCCCCCTCGCTCCTCCTCTGCCTATGCCTCCCATGTCCACCTGAAGGAGGAGAGCCACTGTGGCCGTCACCTTTAGCAATCTCTTTGTCTATTCCACGGCCGAGGTCGAAGTTGTCTTGTTCCTCCTCATGTGACCTTTTCTCCTCCTCGTCCTTCACGGTTCGTTGCGCGACCACGGTAGCGGACACTTCGATAACGTTCGGCTGGAGCTACGTCAGACGCTGCTGCGATGCTTCCAAGCGTGGACTCTTGGACGGCGGCAATCTCCAAGCGTGGAACGTCGCCGTGGTTTCCCCCTCTCGCTGGGCTCTCTCGCTGAGCCGATGGATCAGTGCCCTCTCGCTGGACCGACGGATCCGCAAGACTTACGCCCCCTCGCCCAGGATCTTCCGTTGCGCCGATGGTGTCGCCGTCTGTCGGCTTGTGCTCGCTTCCACCCGAGACCTCTGCCGCAGTATTTTTTACGGTAGAAACCTTCTTCCGTGGCGTTGGTCGCTGCCCCTGGATATCCGCCTTCTTCCTGGACTTTTCATGACCAACAGCGGAGGCTTTACCGTGACTTTTTAGTTGACTGCCACGCGCGGCGGTCGCTTTAGTAGCTTTAGATCTGCCGTCGCCCTGCCGGTTAGTCTAAAGGCGCTGCCTCCCTGACGAGTGTCGCCCGGTCTGTTCCTCCTCCTTTTCCTTGTGCCGAGTGACACGTGCCATGCTGGTCTTACGAAATATGAAAAATTTTGAAATACAATTTTCAAAATTTAAAGATTATGACAAGAGTTGTAAAGGATTATGCAGTAATGAGTCATCAGCTCCTTATCTCGTGGCAGGTCCACATACCTACCACCTAGTCGAAATCATTTCTAGATCTGAATCTAGAACAGCACACCTAGGGAACTTTTCCACCCTCCTAGACTAATTCGCCCGCCATTGCTGCTACCTCGTACATGACGAGAACTTCGTACATGTTGCTTCTACGAATGAATCAATCTGCTGGAAGTTTATGCAATGGCGAGTACAAAACCGTTTTTATATGGCAAGATCATAATATACGCTGCTGATACATCTACGCGCAAGCGCGGAACATATTGCCGCTGCTTCTACCATTGGCGATCTTCCTCGCTACTGCTGCATAGGAGGTGTTCGTTTCGGAGGCTGCGGTCGTTGCGACTTCTTGGAGCTGGCGATGCTGCTGCAGCGACTACGACTGCCGCTGCTGCCGGGACGGTTGCTGCTGCTATGAGACGAGCCACTGCTGCTTACGCTGCGCATGGCGAGACAACGGCTGCTGCTTTTGCGCTTGGAACGAACTCACGGTGGCATGTGGCAAGATCGCTGCAGCTGCGGGTGTCCTATCGCTACTGCTATCGTGTGATCTGATGCTGATGCATGATCGCTACTGCTGCTGCGCACGAACATTGCTATGTCAAAAGAGTAGGCACAAGGAGGAGCCATAGCTAGGGTTTACCTAGCTAGGCAAGAGAGAAATTAGCAAAAGGGAGGGGTTCACTAGCAAGAAGGAGGATACATATAGGAAACCCTAAGGTCTCGTACTCACTACAGAGTACCCCACTGCAGGCTAGACAAACTACATTCTGACACACCCCCATAGTCAAAGTGGGGTATAATCAACAGAGCAAGCAGTCATAGAGCAGGTTCACAAGTGCAAGCAAAGCTAGAGGCATTCACAACGGGGACGTGAGGAGGAGGAGGCTGGACTGTGAGAGGAGAGGAGATAGGAGGCGACGGCTGAAGCTGCAGACACACGGGCACTAGACACACTGGCACAGTGGCTACCGGGACAGCGCCCCGGACTACTAGAGTAACTGGCTCGGCGGCTATGAGGAGCGGCAGGAGCAACGGACCCACGGACGACAGGCGCAGCAGGCTCTCTGGGCTACCAGGACAGCGCCCCGGACTACAGGTGCTGCGGACGACAAGACGGCAGCCTCCGCTCAACCTCCCCCAACTGTCCCACCCCTCTTTCACACACCCCTTGCTGCACCCCTAGCTCCACTCCCACGTCACCCCCGTAGCACTACTCCTTCGGCTCCCACACATCCACCCCCCATCAGCGACAGCTGCAGCAGTGGGAGACGGAGGAGGAGGAGGAGCAGGGGACGGCGCACACAACCGGCACCCCCAGAACCGCCACCCCCACACTCGCCACCCCCAAACCCTAAAACGGGTGGCACGGGGCAAGAGCGCGGGGGACGGCGCAGGGGACGGCGCGCGCCCCCCAGGGCGCCACGACGGGGCAGCGGGGGGGTCGCGCGCGGCTCCCCTGGGCGCCGCGACGGGGCAGCGGGGGGTCGCGCGCGGCTCCCTAGGGCGGCGCGACGGGGAAGCGGGGGCCGCGCGTGGCTCCCCAGGGCGCCGCGACGGGACGACGCGAACAAGGGGGGGGGACGAACGGCCCTCGGGGCGCCTCGACGGGCGATGGGATGGGGGGGTCGCGCGGCCCCCGTGACGCCGCGACGGAACGACGTGAAGGGGGGGGACGCGCGGCCCCCGGGGCTCCTCGACGGGCGACGGGATGGGGGGGAAGCGCGGCCCCCGTGACGCCACGACGGGCGACGGGAGAGGGCGCCGCGAGGGCCCCCCGGAGCACCGCGACGGGCGACGGGAGAGGGCGCCACGACGGGCGACGAAACCGCCGCGCGCGCCCGGGGCGCACGGCGGGCAGAAAACCGCCGCGCGCCACGAGCGCGCGGCGGGATGAAAAAGTGTCGCGCGCCCGGGGCGCGCGACCAGCAGAACAGTAGCAGCGGAAGCAGTAGGCGGGCCCACAGGCCAGGAGCGTAAATGCTCTGAAACCATGTCAAAAGAGTAGGCACAAGGAGGAGCCATAGCTAGGGTTTACCTAGCTAGGCAAGAGAGAAATGAGCAAAAGGGAGGGGTTCACTAGCAAGCAGGAGGATACATATAGGAAACCCTAAGGTCTCGTACTCACTACAGAGTACCCCACTGCAGGCTAGACAAACTACATTCTGACATGCTAGAGCTGCGAGATCGCCGCTGCTGCTGGTGCTGCTGTGCAATCAATGTTGACGCTGCTGTGCGCTGTTGCTGCTACTGTGCGATCACTGCTGCTGCTGCTTCGCGATCGCTGCTGCTGTGCGATCGCCGCTGCTGTGCGATCGCTGCTGCTGCTGTTGCGCGAGTTGCTGCTGCTGCTGCTGCGCGATCGCTGCTGCTGTGCGGTCGCTTCTGCTGCTGCGCGGTCGCTTCTGCTGCTGCGCGGTCGCTTCTGCTGCTGCTGTGCGATCGCTGCCGCTGCTGCTGTGCGATCGCTTCTACTGCCTGATCGCCGCTGCTACTCCGCGTTCGCTGCAGCTACTCCGTGATTGCTGCTGCTGGGCACGATCTGCGCTGCTGGCGCGCGCTCGCCTCTGCTGGCGCGCGATCGCCTTTGCTAGCCTGCGATCGCCATTGCTGGTGCACGATCGCCGCTGCTAGCGTGCGGTCGCTGCTGCTGCCTCAATAGCGCATCTGCTGTGGCGTGATGTGCTGGTGCTATCGAGATCGGGATGGTGCTGCACTGCCTGGCGGGACGGGTGTCAGATTTATATGACAGAGCTACTGTAGGCTATAGTGGGGTAGCACATATGGGGTACAGTTTTCTAGGGTTTGCATTTTGTACCCAACTTTCCCTTAGTCATTTCATTCCTCGTTTCTTCTCATGGTATCGAGCAGGTTCCCTAGTGGGAACGATTCCTAGGGCCCACCACCACTAAAATTTTTTTCCTGCCCGGAGCGCGCTTCGCTCAGGCCCGAGTCGCGCCCTGGGTGCTCCCCCCCCTACCGTCGCGCCCTCGCTAGGCCCCTCACGGCCCCGTCGCGTCGCCCTTAGCGGCCCCCTCACGGCTCGTCGCGCCGCCCCTTACGGCCCGTCGCGCCCGACGCGCCGTCCCTTACGGCCCCTCGCGCGGCCCCTTACGCCCCTTACGGCCCCTAGCGCGGCCCCTCACGACCCCCCTACGGCTCGTCGCCGCCCTCCGCGGCCCCGCCACCTACCTGTGCGGCCCCACCACCTACCTGTGCGGCCCCGCCACCTACCTGCGGCCCCGCCACCTACTAGCGGCCCCGCCACCTACCTGCGGCCCCGCCACCTACTAGCGGCCCCGCCACCTACCTGCGGCCCCGCCACCTACCTGCGGCCCCGCCACCTCCTAGCGGCCCCGCCACCTACCTGCGGCCCCGCCGCCTACCAGCGGCCCCGCCACCTACCCGCGGCCCCGCCACCTACCTGTGCTGGCCCCGCCACCTACCTGCGGCCCCGCCACCTACCAGCGGCCCCGCCACCTACCGGCGGCCCCGCCACCTACTAGCGGCCCCGCCACCTACCTGCGGCCCCGCCGCCTCCTCTCAGCGGCCTCGCCGCCTCCTCCCAGCGGCCCCGGGCGCCGCCCTCTCAGCGGCCCCGCCGCGCCGCCAAGCAGCCGAGCCGCCCAGCCGCCGAGCCGCCCGGCAGCCGAGCCGCCCAGAAGCCGAGCCGCCGAGCCGCCCTGCAGCTGAGCCGCCGAGCAGCCGAGCCGCCGAGCCGCCCTGCAACCGAGCCACCCGAGCCGCCCTGTCCGGTAAGAGCAGCGCCTCTTTCACAGCACTGCCCTCACCCTACTGTTTGCGCTGCTAGTCTACTGCTGTCATGGCTACCCCTAGTGTCCTCGCTTTTGATGCTGAGGGTCGGGCCATTGACTTTGACGTCTGGATAGATGACCTGCAGCTTTTCTTACAGTGCGACAGAGCAGACGGCCTCTCCCTCTTTGACCTCACTTCTGGTGCCTCCCCTGCCCCCGCTGCTGATGCTGACGCCACTGTTCGCTCACAGTGGGCCACGCGCGATGCTGCTGCACGTCTTGCTGTGCGTCGCCACCTGCCTACCTCTGAGCGTGCGCACTTTAGCCAGTACAAGAGTGCTCACACCTTGTACGACGCT